TGGCAAAAACTAGATTTAAATATAGTGTAACTGACTCCAGGAGCCCTGGTGGTACAGTGGTTAAGTGTTCAGCTGCTAACTAAAAGGTCAGCAATTCAAACTCACCCGTCATCCCACGAAAGAAAGATGTGGCAATATGCTTCCATAAAAATTTCTGGCCTTGGTAACCCTGTGGGGGCAGTCTGGTGGCGTAGTGTCTAAGGCACTTGACTGCTAACCAGAAGCCTGGTGGTTCAAACCCACCAGCCACTGCTCGGAAGGAAGACTGGGCAATCTACTTCTATAGTGATACCACCTTGGAAACTCAAAGAGAGGTCACTATGATTTGGATCTGACTTGACAGATGTGAGTTTAGTTTTTTGTTTTTTATAGGAATGGAACTGACTTGATAGTAACTGTTTTTGTTTTGGTTTGGTGTGTGACTCCAAATCTCAGGTACTTTTTCTCCATTTACATGGCTTCTAATAAAAATTGAAATGCTAAAATTTTCTAATGCACTACCATCAAGCCAGTCCTGACTCATAGCAACCCACATAGAGCTTCCAAGGCTGTAAATCTTTTTTTTTTCTTTTTTAATTGTGATTTGGGTGAAGATTTACAGAGCAAATTCACTTTCCATATAGCAGTTTACATATACTTTGTCTCATGACATTGACCACAGTTTACCACAATGCAACAGCTCCTCTCCCACTTCCTCCCCATAGTTACCTCTTCCCAGTGTCCATCCTTCCATGGACTCCTGCCCCCTGAGCTGTCTCCCTGTGCAAAAGCAACCCTTCTTTCTCAATGACTGTTCTCTCCAAGGAGTGTATCTACCTCAGGTAAATGTCCAACTCATATGCCTGTCTTCTGTTTGGCTGGAAACCACAGATGTGGGTTCAGTTCCAGACCTGAAGGACAGCTAGGGGCCATAGTCTCAGTGGTTCCACCAGGCTCTATCGGACCACCAAGGCTGTAAATCTTTACAAAAGTAGAATGCTTCATCTTCCTCCCACGGAGGAGCTGGTGGGTTTGAACCACCAACTTTCTAGTTAGCAGCCAAATGCCTTACTTACTGAGCAACCAAAAACCAAACTCACTGACTCACAGTGACCCCTCCTTGGGTTTCTGAGGTGGTATCTCTATGGAAGTAGATTGCCCAGCCTTCCTTCTGAGGAGGTGGGTTTGAACCACCAGGCTCCTGGTTAGCAGTCAAATGCCTTAGGCACTACGCCACCAGAGCTCCTTGTACATTTACTAAGCACTAACTATATCCCAAGATGGTATTGATGGTTCAGTGGTAGAACTCTCACCTTCCATGCAGGAGACCTGGGTTGGATACCTAGACAATGCACCTCAAGCATAATCTCTACCTGTCGGCCAGTGGAGCCTTGAGTGTTTTTATGATGCTGATCAGGCTGCAGCAGAGATTCCAAACTAAGACAGACTAGGAAGAAAGACCTGCCAATCCACTTCCAAAAAATCAGCCAACTATGAATCAGAACTGTCCAATCTCATTGTGCAGGGGATTATCACAAGTCAGAGACGAGACAGTATTATACAGAAGCAGATTGCCCAATCTTTCTTCCAAGGAGTGGCTGGTGGGTTTGAACCACCAGCCTTCTGGTTAGCAGTCAAATGCCTTAGGCACTACACCATAGAGCTCCCCAACAATAACTATGTTGTTGTTGTTGTTATGTGCCGTCAAGTCGGACCCAACTCATAGCGACCCCTCCTTGGGTTTCTGAGGCAGTATCACTATGGAAGTAGATTGCCCCATCTTCCTTCTGAGGAGTGGCTGGTGGGTTTGAACCACCAGCCTTCTGGTTAGCAGTCAAGTACCTTAGGAACTATGCTACCAGAGCTCCCAACAATAACTATATCCCAGGAAAATCACACATACTTTCTCCAACAATTTTTATAATCTCTATGCATATTAGTTTTTATCATTTACAAATGGGGAAGCCAGGGATCAGGAAAATTAAATAACAAGCCCATAGTTATCCAATCAGTACATAGTAGAGCTGGGATTCATGCCCAAGAGTATTTACCTGCAAAATCCTTACTCTTCTCCACTATCGTATGTTACCATCATTCTATAGGTCATCCAAGAAGAAGCGGATAGTAATCTGTGACATCTGATTAATTTACAATTCCCAAATCTGTGCACTGAAATTACAGTATTTTTATGCAAATAACACATATGCGCTATACAGTGTTTTAGAAACTGCCCAACCCCCTCACACATTAGTTTTCTATGCACACTATGTGTGTTATATGCACATGAGTGTATTGTGTACTTGGGGGCATTATATATGAAAACATGGTAATCTTATCACTTAGTTTTATACAACATTGCACAATATTCCTCAGCTGGGTTTAGGTAATTCTAAAGGTCCACTTCATCTGTGCTATTACTTATCATTCAGAACAGAGTTCATTCCTCATTGAGTAAACCATTTGGCAAAAGCCAATCACCAAATCACAAACACAGGCCCCAGCCAAACTGGCTCAAAGCCACTCCTCTCTTGCCAAGAAATGGAGACCCTATAGACATGGCTGAAGGAACTCTCAGAACATCTTAAACTAGATGCTGAGTTGATTCCAACTCACGGAGACCTTGTTGTCATTGTTGTTGTTAGGTGCCATTGAATCAGTTCTGACTCATAGCAGCCCTGTGTACAACAGAACAAAACACTGCCTGGTCTGGCACCTTCCTCACAATTGTTGCTATGTTTGAGCCCATTACCTTAGCCACTGTGTCAATCCCTCTCATTGAGGACCTTTCTCTTTTTTGCTGACCCTCTACCGAGCATGATGTCCTTCTCCAGGGATTTGTCCCTCCTAATAACATGTCCAAAGTATGTGAGACAAATTCTCACCATACTCATTTCTAAGGAACATTCTGGCTATACCTATTGCAAGAAAGATTTGTTCATTCTTCTGCCAGTTCATGGTATATTCAGTGTCCTTTGCCAACATCATAATTCAAAGATATCAGTTATTTTTTGATCTTCTTTATTCATTGTCCAGCTTATGGCTGCTTATACCTGAGGCAGAGTCTCTGGGTGGTACAAATGGCAAATGACTTGGATACTAATCAAAGAGTTGGCAGTTCAAGCTCATCCAAAGTCACCTTGGAAGAGATGCCTGGTGATCTACTTCTTACATACCTGAGGTGGCTGAGTCGGAGTCAACTCAATAGCAACTAGTTTGGTTTTTATATCTGTGGCACTGGGAAGATCACTTATATCATAAGATTCTTCTGAAATAAGCTTTCAAGGCTCCACAAGAACGTTGTTTCAGGTAAACACAGGGAGGAATTCAGAAGAGAGCTATTGCATAATGGGGATTGCAATCAATATCATGAAACAAAATGTGTACGAACCGCTTTATGGAAAATGAATTTACTCAGTAAACTTTCACCCAAATCACAATAAAAAATAATTTAAAAAAACCCACAGTGCCACAAGAAAATTCACATATTGACTACACCTGGATCCCTTAATTCTAGTGACCCAAAGGTAAATTTACATCTTCAAAAACATCTTGCCATGGATTGAAGGTGGATAGGAGTGGAGAAAGGATTCAGTTTATTTTTCTCTTGAACGTTAGGTACTCAGGGGACACAATGGTCTTTGAAAAGCTCAGTCAGTGAAAGTTGTCTTTTTTGGGCAACATGGACTTTTTAAAAATTAGATTATGCTCTGTGATGGTGCTTTTGCTTTTTTTCTCTCTTTAAGTTGTCTGTAGTGCCAAATTTCCATTACTTGAATGCTTCTGGAAGCCTTTATTATGAGAATATGTGCCTTGTCAGCTGGAAGAAGATGATATTATTACTCAGGGAATGCAGTGGCCAACAGCAAGGGCAGCCCTACAGGAAAGATTATGCACGTGGTTGTGGGTACTAACTAGAAAGGTTGCTCTGTTGACTTTCTTCTTTTTCTTAAAGGAAAAAGTGATCCAGGAAACTCTCTCTTGTTCCTCCTTTCAATAGCTTGGTGGGCGTGGGTGAAAGGGCCTAAGAAATAACTAGTGAAGTCAAAAGATGGAGAAGTCATCTGAAATGACTAGTTATCCAGCCCACTCATCCAAGGGAAAGAGATTAATTCCAATTCTTTTAAGATTCTAAATGCATCTTAGTGAGACAAAGCAACACCAATAGTTGGTACAAGATACAAAGCCAGAATTTGTTATTATGTGCCGTCGAGTCGGACCCAAATGATCGTGACCCCCTCCTTGGATTTACGAAGGTTGGGCAATCCTACTTCCGTAGTGATACTGCCTCGGAAACCCAAGGAGGGATCGCTATGAGTCGGGGCCGACTCCACAGCAAATAACCACAACAACATCACTACGGAAGTAGATTGCCCCATCTTCCTTCCAAGGAGTGCCTGGTGGCTTTGAACAGCCAGCCTTCTGGTTAGCAGTCAAGTGCCTTAGGCACTACGCTACCAGACCTCCTACCAGAAAGTGCAGCAGTAAACACTGACTGTGATGATCTGAAATGTTTCCCAGCCCAAAGGCTTGGCTGCCAACAGTCCTGCCCAGCGCAGGAACACAACAGACCACAGGCTCACTTTTTATTCCCAGCCCCACACCAGTTCAAATGGCCCAGCAAGCAGCCGGCATTCCCTGCCTCTTCTGTAATGTCTTTCATTTCGTTTTGTTTCCTCACTAAGTGGGAGGAAAATGAGTTTGGGCCCAACAGAGATTGAGTTGTGGTGGGGCTGGGGTGGGAGATGCAAATAACAACATAAGCCAGAGCTTTTTTGCTTCTTTTTTTTTTTCTTCTAAGCATAAAGCCACAGTCGTATTAATTAATATAGGAAACATAGTCATTTCGCTTTCCCCGTGCATCTCTAACCCTCACCTATCAACCTCAAGAAGTAAAGGCAGAAAGGAAAGCTATAGTGCAGAGGGTGTGTCCAAGTGCAGATTATTCCCTAACCCAGGTACAGCAAAGAAGGGCGGGCTGGGAACCTCCACCGAAAACACACACACAGAGCGCCCCTCCTCACCTTCTCGATCGTCTGGTCCACGGCCTTCTGGAAGACCCGGGCCACCAGCAGCGTGACGCTGGTCACCAGCAGGAGCAAGGACAGAGTCCCCACCGTGTAAAAGCAGCACCTGCCCATTTTGCGCGCCGCTCACGGGCCGGCCTCCGCCGGCCCGCGACCAAGCTGGGAGGAGAATGGAGCCGCCGCAGTACTGTCCAAAGATCCCCGGGGACCCTCCGCGCCCTCTCCCTATTGGCGTGCGGCCCCTTCTGCACGGGGAAGGCAGGGCCGGGGAGTCGAAGGGGCCGACTTTGGTTTCGGTTTCCTCAGGAGGCCCGACAGGGGCGACCGCGGCGTCCTGCCTAGAGCAGCTCTAGGGGGAGGGAAGAAAGGAGCGCGCAGGGCCGTGACGCTCGCTGGCCTCCCTCGCCGCAGCCCTGGGAGGCGGCCGCCAGCAGCTGTGCCGGGAAGCGGGCGGGGCTGGAGGCTGAGCTCGAGTCATGTGTCCAGCCTCGGCTTCCAAGATTCGATTGGACGCGCCGCCACCGGCCGCAGGCGGCGCCTTCTCAGATCTGGCCCAGCTGCGCCCCTGGTCGCAGGCCCTGCGGTCACCTCCGGAAAATCTCTTTCTTCAGTTCATGCATTTACTTTCCTTAGATAGTTACTGAGGGCCTGCTGAGTCAAGCAATGGGGATCCTAGGATGAGTACGACTTTGCCCCTGCTGTAAAGGAGGTCACAGTTATAAACAATTAAAGCACAAGGTAACGAGTGCTTTTACAAGGTGCGTTGAGTCTGCGCCAACACGTTCTGCCTGGGTTACCTGTGGTTACTGCCTTAGACTTGCCATCTTCCACTCATGGCGACCTCATGTATTACAGAGTAGAAAGGCTCCTTAGGGGTTTTCTTTGTCAACCCCAGGGTTACAGGTGAGGAGAGACAACTCAGGGACGCCCAAAGCAGCAGGCCAGAAGAGCAGGAGAAAGGGGATTAAGAGCCAGAAAGCCAGAGAGAAGAGCAATCAGCCAAAGGGATTAGGTGAGGAGAGGAAACTCAGGCCTGCCCAAAGCAGCAGGAAGGGAAAGCAGGAGAAAGGGGATAAAAGCCAGGAGCTCCTACAGAAGAGCAGTAAGCCCCAGGGATACAGGTGAGGAGAGACAACTCAGGGATGCGCAAAGCAGCAGGCCAGAAGAGCAGGAGAAAGGGGATTAAAAGACAGGAAGCCAGACAGAGGAACAGTCAGCCACAGGGACCCAGGTGGGGGTGATGCGATAGGTCTCCAACAGCAAGAGAAACTTGTCTGTTGGTTTGTCCTACTGTGGTGGCATGTAGACGTGAGTTTTGAGGCTAAGCCTCTGGTGTTTAAACCCAGCGAAATGCACCTTGTGCACAGCTTATAGACTGAGACAGACTAAGAAGGAGGAGGAGGCCGTCCACTTCTCAAAGAATTGGCCAGGGAAAACCTTATGAATAGCAAAGAAACAGTGGTATATTACCGCACACCTTTAGGAACAGTCAGTTTAGGCTAAAAGGCTCGCAAAATAGGACTGGGAAAGAGCTGCAACATCTGAGTAAACCCAGCTTTATTCATATGGAGATAAGAAAGCTTTCGAGACCTTCATTTGTGAGGTGGCACCACTCAAACTGAAGAGAAACAGTCGCAGACATCCATTAATCATCGGAACATGGAATGTACGAAGTATGAATCTAG